AAGACTGGCAGAACTTTATCCTAGAAGATTTTGGAAATCTCTGTGAACCATAGGGGTTAGGAATTGCATAATAATCTTCAGAAGTTTGAGAATTGCAAGATATTACTTTTTAAGTTTTAGTGTAAGTTACTGGATTCAAGATGTTGGGTGATGATTATTTAATAGTATGTTGAAAGGGGAAGCTAAGACTGGGTAAACATTACTCAGAAACTGGAAAGAAGAAGTAAAAGGGAGTCTCTGTACCTTTGGTTAGATTTCATCTGCATAAGAATCTAGGTGTCCCTATTCCATGTTATGTGTCATTACTAACATGGTTCTATGATGCTAAAGAATCATCAGTAACTGAAAACCACTTGTTTTTTGGCCTTTCTCTTAACCTCTTTTTCTTTCATAATTAGTATTTGGTATACTGTGTATGAGTATGCTAGAAATTGTGAAAGTAGTGTATGGAGTTGGGTAGTGTTGGTACAAGCAGGTAATACTTCTAGTATGGTTCTTTTTGATATTTTAATTACAATCAGAAAAAAAGTTTTTCTTGGCAACCATACTTTACTCTCCCTCCTCCCCACTGATTAGCTTGCCATGTTTAATTATTGTGATTCAAGTTGTTTTAGACTATACAAAAGTACTTCAAAACGTTTGTGGAAAAATGGAATTAAAAGATAAAAATCCTTCCGTGAACTTGGTGAAGTACCACTGTATAGTCATTAGGCTGTACAATTATTCAGTAGATTTGTTTTCCCAAACTTGGCTTCTTGCCTGTTCTTGAAGCAGCCAAACCTTATTTTCTTTGAATTTAGAGCCAAAATTGATTAAAATAAAATTGTCATCTTTTATTATATACAATGAAGCTCATCATTCAATGTTTACAATTCCTGGAATGATAGACTGTGGATTGTATGGACCTTAAGTAAGTCATCTAGTCTACTCAATTAAGTTTTGTGAATACTGTATATCTTTCTACATAACAGGATAGTATGCTGTCATGTTTAAATTTGTCTTCATTAAGTTTCATGGCAGGATAGGCTATATCCAATGTATGTATGAAGTGAGTCTTGTTAGTCCTAGATTTAATTTTTCTCAAACTTCAAGTCAAGTTAGTATCTTTCAGGGTTTTATAGACTTTAGTCATATCCTTGTTACTATACTGAAAGTTCTAATTCCTCTTGATTCTGTTTTGCTTATAAATAGTCCTCTTTCCCAAAGCCACCTCTTTTTCTGGGCCATCTCCAATCATAATATACTTTACTTTTTTTTTTTTTTCCCCCNCATGAATTCATCATTAATGATTTGAGTGTTATTACCAGTATCTTCCTACTTTTTACCTGACATTTTTTTTGTTGCTTTGGTTCTGGAAGCATAAGATCAACTTAAGAAGCATAAGCATAACTTTAGAAACATGTGCAGGGACTTTTTAGGACCCTCTCCTACCTTTTATCTGATAGCTTGGATTGTGTCTTTCAGTATGTTTTAGATTATTTTTCAGTAGGCAGATTTTCTTGCACTTCGCCAATATAGAAATAGATATGCTACCTTCTCCCACTTATACAACCTTCAACTCTTCTTATATTTTTTTGCAGTGGATTGACCTTTAAGCACCCATAAGTGCTTAGCATCATTGTGAACCTGATAGTTTCACAGTATACATCTTCTTTGTAATTTATAACTCTATTAAATAAGACTTTTTAGGACTACTGTTTCTACTTTGCCATCTGGAGATTTATTCATTTATCCTTGTTTTTTGTTTTCTGTCTTTATCTATAACAGAACAATTCTTTTTTCTCCAATCCACTTAAGACCCTTGTCAGAAATCTGTTAGATATGACTTCATTTTGTTTACAAAACTAATTTACTTTTCCCCTAATTTTATATTTACTTTAAACATTAATCAAAATATTGTGTTGATAATATTAAACTATTTGGAACATTCTTTTAGAAGCAATTATTGCCTCAGAGACTTGCATATATTTTTTGCCTTTTTTTTTTTATTTTTTCTGTTGAAATAACTACATTGGCAGTAAGAGCTCAAGGAAGGAGGTTAAGCCTTTGGCAATGTTTTGAAGGAGTTATGTTTGATTTTTAAGTCTCATTTTGATGTCCATGTTATCAAAAGCCTCTTTTT